TGCTTGTGCCAGTAGCATTGCAAGCAGTGCATGTGTGGTACCTCCACTGAGCAATATGCTGATTTACTGGGGCTCTTTCTTCCTTCTGGAACTTATTTTCAGTGGTTGCTTTCTTTTTTCCCTTTTTCAACTGCAACCTTGAGGTTTGGGGGACATAGGAATCCATAGTCCCCTGTTTATGAGGCTTACTACACCAATTCCTCCCTTGTAATTTTGAGAGGAATCCACTTCAATTGCCCCTTCATCAGCATCCTCCTCGTTATCTGATAAAATATTCACCTCGGGCCTTAACTTTGCTATACTTGCTTCCTTTGCTGCTGCCCTCTTTTTCTTTTAGCATCCAAAAAGTCAGATGTTTCCTTCTTAATGTCTGTCTGAACTTCCTTGCATGGGGCAATATCTCTTACTAATACCGGCAATGTGTTTCCTAAACCTATTGATTCTGAATTTGTATCTTTACTACAAACTTTGCACCTAATTTTTTTTATCCGGGAAAAATCCATATTTATTACTATGCAGTGAGGTACTTCTCTTGAATAATTATCAAAATAAGACAAGGTAACTTCTTTTAAATCAAGTAATAATCTACTTGTACATGTTTCCCTTTGATATTGGAACTTGACATATTGAACCCGGGACTGTGCTGGAGGGTTTGCGCAAAATGAAAGCAGGAAAAGCATTAAAACGAGAGTCGGAGATTGAAAGAGTGGATCCAATTTGGGAAGCAATTAAGGAAAAGGCCTGTACATGTATGTCTATGTGATGTGTATGTGCAAGGTACTCATGGTTATATGTACTTTATATAACAGCAGTTACATACTTTATATAACAATACATACAATTCAGATAGACATCTCTAGATTCTCAAATTTCTTTAGGGTTTTTTCATGTTTGTTCGACCTTGAGTCCTTTTTTATCCCAAATTTTTGGGTTCCTGAATGTGAATACATAATGTCCTACCTAATCCATAGTTGCAGGCATGGATTCTTCTCTTATACTTTTCTAAGTTGTTGAGAATGGGTCCATGCAACAAAAAACTTACCAAGATGATAATAAATCTAGATTGACCAAGTGTTTTTTGCACACTGAAAGATTACAAGGTAGTGAAAGGAAACCTAAGGATTGGGGACCCTATGAATTGTCTTTTTTTCTTGAGAAACATTGACTTTTGTATTAATAATAATGAGATTTCCAAATTGCATATAACTGTATCTGTGCAAAAACAAGACAGGTAAAAAATAAAAAATTAAAAAAAATTGTACAATAGAAGAAATAAAAACTACGTCGTGGATAGGATATGCACCTATTAACTACAAAGCTATTGCTGGCAGCCCCATACTTTGCCAGGACATCAGCAACTTCCTTGCCCTCATGCCATGAGTGTTTGACTGAGACTTTTAAATTACTGGAAATCACAAAAATTTGGTCAAGCAGTTGTTCTGAGATCCAAGGAGAGTGCGTGTCCCTTGAGGCTCATCTGATTATATTCGCAGAACACTTCTCTCCTCATGTGAGGGGCCTCAACTACAATCAAACAGTTTAAGATCCTCCAAAAGTGCTGCTGCCTCTGCCCTCGTGGAATCTGTCATCTCATTGGAACCCGAATAAGAAAGGAAACGGTTGCCCAATTGTTTCTAAAAGTACCTCCAACTCTCGACGGGCCCTGATTGCCGAGAGACTATGTTGCATGGACACGGTTATGTGTGTCATTGTTTGACACTGCTACTGGGTATTGGATTCTTCATGCCATGAAGAAGAGGACTCAGCGACAGTTCTATTATGAAGAGACAACCAAAGTCAATAATGTTTAACTGGTATTCCATTTGATGATGAGTAGCAAGAAACAATCAATTATACCTTAATTGGAAAATTTCATTGATATTTTGAGAATTCCATGAACATTTTCAAGTTCGCATGCGTCTAATCAAAACAGAAAAGAAGATTTAAGTCTCTAAAATGATGTAATCAATGTTACTGAACAAGAAGAAGAACCCAAAGGAGTCCATGTTGGTTTGTGTGGTGGTATGTGTCTGGCATGGGCATGGCATCCAAGTCGAAGAATCCATGTAAAATGAGTGAGAGAGCAACCGTCAGTGTTGTGTTTGATGACCCTGGGGGGTGGGTCGACCAAATGTTAGATAGGTAAACAGCCATCGACCTAGCACTCGGATAATACCCCAAATTTTGTATAAAATAAAGAGTAGACCCAACCAGAGAACTCCTTATATTTGTTGACCAGAAGATAATAATGGCCTTAATCTTGTCCTTAGAGCACTCAACTGCCTCGGCAAATATTCAAGAGTTGCACTCTATCCATAAGGACCAAAAAGAAGCTAGAATGCTGGTTCGCCAAAGGAACAATCCAGCGACAGGGAATGAAGTAAAATAGGCTGAGAAACTTTGTTGGACATTTTCAGGCGACACCCTCCTCCATTCAGTAAGGACCAACATGTGGGCAGCCTTGAAACAGCGGATAAACAAATGGTCCACTTTCCTCCACTTCTTTGTTTCTATTCTATTGTGAGAGCCTTCTTAGAGATGACTAGCTAGTTGGAAGCCTGAATCCCTGCCTGTTCACTATGAAAGGCCCACCATTGCTGGAGGGAAAGTCATTGTACATAGTGGAAACCAAGAAAAGGCCTGAGGAGATTGGTCCCAATCATTTTATCCCCCTATAAGCTGATTGTTGACATCCTGTGGAGCCGCCACGGGAGGATCTCCGGGCTGCGAAGGTTTCCTCTAAAACCTGTGGGCCAAATTAGTTGTCCCCTAAGCACTTCATAAGATTGTGCTATCAAAACATTTTGGTCTATGGCTACAGAAAATATTCTAGGGAACAGGCTTTCACGAGTACTATTCCCAGCCCCTAGATCCCTCCATAGTTTGATACGCTCCCCCTTGTTTGCCACAAACGAGTTCTATGGAAGAGGCAGTCATTTATGGTGGCGATACCCCTCCATTTACCTGAAGTGCAATCATTTCTTTGGGAGTTAAGGAACCAACCTGATTCAACTAGGCCATATTTGTCTTGAACAACCTACTTCCAAAGGTGACCATTCTGGCTTGCAAATTGCCACCACCACTCGCAGAGCAACGCATAATTACCCTCTTTTGGTCTCCTAAATCACCTTCCTTACTTCTTGGGACTACATAAGAAACCCCAACTTATCAAGTGAAATTGTTGACTCCCCCTCGAGCCAGACCAGAGGAAGTATCTCATCAGGCCCCCTGGTCTCTTGAGAACCGACATGCATCTTGAAGAGGGATGTGGAAGACTGGGACGTTGGAAAGGTTAGTGAAGGTAAGGGTTATTCGTCCTCCTAGTGACAAGAATTTGGCTTTCCATGCTGCCAAGCCTACTCTTGAAATTTTGACCACTCCATCCAACCGTGCCTTTCTAGATTTGTAGAGGCATTGTGGGAGGCCGAAGTACTTCTTGGATAAGGGTTCAATTCAGGCCCAAGCCTCCTGACCAGCAGTTGCTTGTCATTGTGGTTAACACAGACACCCATTTAGACTTAGCCAGATTTATCTTGAGCTCTGTCGAAAGTTCAAAGCACATGAGGAACAACCATAGTTTACCCTCTTGCTGATGATCTGCGTCAAAGATAACAGTGTCATTGGCATATTTTAAATGTGATATTAGAGGATCCCTAGAGAGGAGGAGAAACATTGTAGAAGTTTAGATTGTGAAGGCTAGAGATAGACTTACTGAAAATTTCCCCTACTATGGCAAACAGAAATTGGGAAACGGGCTCCCCTTCGCTAAGGCTCCGCTATGAGGGGTAGTATCCTTGAGGACAGCCATTTATATGTACAGAGAAGTGGGGGGACCCAATGCATCCTGAATACCAGATTCTCCACCTTCTGCAAAAACCCATGAACTCTAGAAACTTCCTCTGTGCCTGCTTGACGTGGTCACAGGCCTTCTGCTCATCTATCTTCAATACTAGGCCTAGTCTTGGAGTGGATTCATCATGTGCTATCAAGGCACCCTGAATTATCATTCATGTGTTATGAATTATCTATCATTAGTGTATAACACACGTTCACATAGAGAAATGATTTTATAATCTAACATAATTATTTTACACAACACAAACATGTGCGTGCGTTTGTGCGTGTGTTTGTGTTTGTGTGTGATAAAGAGAGGGGGGTTGGGGGGGGGGGGGGGGGGGGGTTGGTTGAGATATTGGAGTTTTAGGAGGCATGAGGCGAGAGGACGATAGAGAAATGAAATATGGTTGAGATAGTGGGGTTTTAATAGGGATGAGACGAGAGAGGAGGACAATAGAGAAATGAAATATGGTTGAGATAGTGGGGTTTTAATAGGGATGAGACGAGAGAGGAGGACAATAGAGAAAAGTGAAGACAGTGCTAGGATGGAGGAATGCATTTTACTGTGGGCATGCAATGGGAGGTACATGCTGTTAGCCTTGGTTTTTTGTGAAACAGAGTAACATGAAAGGAGAAGAAGATACTTAGAAGAACAGTTAACTCTTTCAAAAAAAAAAAAGGATATACATTGGAAATCAGGGATACTAGAGAGAGTATTAGTTTAATGTTAACTTGTCTCCTTTCTGTAATGTTTGCCTTGTTGAAGAATCTCAAGCCGTATGGCTTACCTCATTTAAGACTATGGCTTGAGGTGTGCAACTTGTCTTTTCGATTACTCATTGATTGGAAGTGAAATAACTTTTTTGACTAGTAACCTTTTGTACTAATGGGGTGATTTCTATGCAATGCTGTTTCCAAAATAAGTTCTGAAAGGGATTTTATGTCAGCTACTTTAGCTTTTGCTTTTGCTGGGCATTTGTATGGAGAATTTCTTTTGTTTTTTCTTCACTTTCGAAGTGTAGAATTCTGAAAATAATCTCAATGCAGGAATGTAATTTTGTTGATGGAAAAAGCTATTTTATCATATCTTTTTTTTTTTTTGGGTAGATTGACCGGTAAATGTCAATATATGTTAGTGTTATTTTGTCTTTACTTCTGTTTAGGAAGCTGGTATAGACGTTCGCATATCTGATGTCGGTGCTGCAATCCAAGAGGTCATGGAATCATATGAGGTTGAAATTAATGGGAAGACATACCAAGGTAATCTTCATTTGCTAGATGATTCTTTTATTATTCTTTATATATATATGTATGTATGTATGTATATGTTTTGGGGGGTGGGTGGCGGGGGTTGGGGGAAGTTTGGAAGATTCATGTGCCTGCCAAGTTAGTTGCCAGCTTCCATGGAAGCTTTGTTTAGCACTGTGGCTGGCGAGTGATAGTTTTTTAATTTAGTTAGTTGCAAGATCTGTGATTGGCATCACTTGTTTGACTGCTGATGTTTTTTAACTATGTTGTGTATCAGAAATCATATGTTATGTGGGATCTCTTTCAACATGATTCAATGAAAACAATCTCTAGCAATCACTAATAAGCATACATAATATACAGTTCTAACAAAGAAAAATTTTCTGGGAGTACTTAGACAATTTTTTTTCCTGGGATAACAAATATCTTATTCCATTTGTTGGTTGAATATTATTTCTTTCTTTTGGCAGTCAAAAGCATTCAGAATTTGAATGGACATAGTATAGGTCCCTATCAAATTCATGCTGGAAAATCAGTCCCTATTGTGAAGAACGGAGTCCAGACAAAGATGGAAGAGGGTGAATTTTTTGCAATAGAAACTTTTGGATCGACAGGTATGGATGAGTTTCTTTTGATTTTTGAATAGTATGTCTTCTAGTGTCCACAGTCTCTCTCTCTCTCTGTCCCCACATAGTTGGGGATGCTGCGTACTCAGAACACATGCATAATGTATGGATTCATATATGTATACTTGCCTGCTTGTGTACTGTTACAGGACCAGCATATATGCATATTATGTTGATATTTCTTGTCTTTGACATGTCATATTCCTCTTTGGTCATTCTTGTTAATGATCTCACTTTCAGGGAAAGGTATTGTAAAAGAAGGTTTGGAATGTAGCCATTACATGAAAAAGTATGATGTTGGGCATGTACCTTTAAGATTACCTCGTGCAAAACAACTTCTTGCAACCATCGACAGGCACTTTTCAACATTAGCCTTCTGTAGACGTTATTTAGATCGGATTGGGGAGACAAAGTACCTAATGGCTCTGAAGAACCTCTGTGACGCTGAAATAGTGGAGGTATATTTTCTATCAGCCAAGCTGCCTCACTGCCACACACCCAATCCCAACCACCAACTTTCCTCCATGCAGGCATGCTTTAAGCTGGTTTCATTAATCACATACTATTAGGGATAAACTTAGCGTTATTAATGTTTATTTGCCTTTTCATTTATCTAAATTCATTTTTTCAAGGACAATATTTACATTCTTTCTTAGGACTCTTTGGTTGTCTTGTGGTTGCTATCCCTCTAATGTTTTTGCATACTTGACCATTGCTTTGGGAATAGATATTTTTCTCACTTGTATAGTCTTGTCAGTATGGTTGTGTATTCTTTCTATTGGGATTTTGGGGGACTTGGAAGAAATCACATCCCTATGCTTGAAGGGGTTTTTTATCTTATTTGATACCTTTTAGACTTTGTTATTCGCCATGGTTAATTGACCTCATGATGGGCATCTCCAACTTTGCTTGGAGCAGTAACAAGGCAAAGGCACTTGTCATGCAAGGCCAGGGTCACTTCCTCATCTACAATGACTCAGCAATATGAAGAGCAATACAAAACCTTAACACAGAGTTGCCTTAGATGACTAGAAAGTACAGTGATAAGAAACACCTTTCACTCTGCCCATCTGCAGGATCTTTCTAATGGAACTCTCTTTTACCTACTAAGAAAACTCTCTCCATCTGCAGGATCTCTCTAATGGAACTCTGTTTTACCTAAGAAAACTCTCTCCCCATAGTACGACTTGCATAGTGCCCTCAAAAGTTGCATCTCCCCTTCAATCCTATTAATCTTGCTGGACAGAGGCTCCGTTAAAATACCATTCCACTTCCTCAACAACACCCCCGCCAAACCCAACCCCCCCCGCCCTCCAAACACCCGGGGCCGCCCGTGGGTCTTGTGTTATCATGAGATTCTTATTCATATCTTGACTATCCCATGGTCACTCCTCATCACCCCCAGTGTACTGGAATCTAAGATGGATCATCACTACTAAATTAATTATCCATCAAAATCATTTAGATGTGCTATTAAGCAGTGTTTCAAAAAGCGCTTGGTGGCACCCAGGCGGTCGTGGGGGTCCAGACCGCCTAGTTGGAAAAAAAAAAAGATAGAATTTTGATACAAATGTGGGGAATTTTTGATATTCTAATCACAAATATTAGAATTTTGATATTCTATCCATAATCCATATTTAATATTTCCATGAATGAGGAATTGATGAGAAGTTGAGAAGAGAATTTTGATAATCCATAGGACCATAATCCATATTTTCATACAAATCTAAAACAGTAAAACCATACAAGAATACACTGATAGTCTGATACACACAAAAGTTAGATAGTAGAAACTAGAAAGTAGACAAAAAAAAGAAAATATACAGAAATTCAGAAAATATACAGTCTAGGACACAATAGTCAACACTCAACACTCAACAGCCAACACCAAGAGTCAAGCACTCAAGCGTCTTCAACTCTTCATTCTTCAGTCATCATCAGAAAGAGTAGGGTAAGCCTCATCATATGTATCAGATTCGAGACCATCATTTTCAGAGTCATCGCCCTTTTCAATATAACGCTCATCCTCCTCTGTTTCTTCCGAATCTGCATCTTCCTCCTCTTTTTCTACCTCTCTCTTACTATGTGTAGATGAGGCCCTAGGATTCTTGGATGCTCTACCCTTTTCTATCTTTTTGTGCTTCCTTGAACTCAAATATCGTATAATCTCCTCCTTGGTAGCCTCAAGAGCATTTTTACACGGGGCAACATCCCCCTTAATATCGGCAAGGTGTTTTTTGAACCAGTCAATACCCCTACTAGTATCCTTTCCACAATAATTACATTTAATACGATTTTTGTCATTCGGATTCGGGTTATAACCATACTTCCAACCCGGATCACCACTTCTAGAATAACCTGGAGAAAATATTTCCATAGAACAAGTTTCATTTTCATCATTTTCTGGTTCTAAATTCATAAATTGTTTAGTCTCATCCAAAAGAGCTTCAGGAACCTTGTTACAAGAAGCAACATTCCCTTTAATACTGGCAAGGTGTTTCTTGAATTGGTTAATACCCCCATTGGTATTTTTTTCACAAAAATTACTCCTTATACAATTTTTATCGTTTGGTTTCGGGTTATGACCATACTTCTAACCCGGATCGCATCTTTTAGCAGAACCAGAAATAGATCTATTCAATTGACAAGGATTTTGTTCTTGTTTTTGTTTTTACATAACTCATATATTGCTTAATCTCCCCTTTGATAGCTTCAGGAACATTTTACATGGGGCAACATCCGCTTTAATACTAGCAAGATGTTTCTTAAACCGGTTTATGCCCCATTTTGTAGTTTTTCACAATAATTGCATCTAATGCAATTTTTGTCATTTGGTTTCGGGTTATATCCATATTTCCAACCCGGATCTCCACTTCGATTAGATCATGAAAAAGACATCACAAAATAAAACAAGCAATCTAAAAAAATAAAGTTTTGCACTTATTTTGATTGCTCAAACTCCCACCTCTTAGATGTTTTCTGGTACTAAAATATTCAAAAACACCCTCTAATAGGATTAAAAAACTCCAAAACTAAATCTAATCTACCTAGGTGATGTTTGGATCCATTTTTCATAACTTTGAGAAACACTTCGATCCAATGAAACTCATAAAATCTAGTTTTTTTGAGGTTTCTCTCTTTAAAATGGGTTCTTGTGGGTTTAGGTTTCAAATGAACCTAAAACTCACCCTTAAAAGCTTTTATTTTTTTAAAAAAACACAATAGAATAAAAAAAGAAGAAGTCACTTCCGCCCCCTAGGTGCCCCGCCTGCCTAGGCACTGGGCGCTCCGCCCGCCTAGGCACTGGGCGCCCCCCCCGCCTAGGCATTGGGCGGTCTGCTTTTTGAAACACTACTATTAAGATTTGCTTAAGTTGAATCTGCATCTTATGCTTGTTCAAAACGTAGAATTTGAATAAAAAGATGGGCCATGAAGTTTGTCTGCAGGTTGTAATCTCTCTGGCTGAGAGGCAGTTCAATAAAGTTCTTTCTGGTTAGACAGATGCACATTGTGCATGTATAGTTCTGGCACTATAATATTTTATTCAATCATCAGAACACTAATTTTACACTCATCACCTTTTTCGCATTTTAATAGTTTGATCCCCATTTTTAGCGATTTTACCATTCATTGAATGTTCATCTGCCATCACCTCGATCTCTAAGAACTGACTTATTGCTAGGGAACAATCACTTTTAGTTACATTATGTGGGTAATTTGAAAAATATGTTGCATGGTGTTTCCTACAGTTATATCATGGTGTGGATGTTTTCTTTTCCTGCTATTTATTCTTTCATTGTAAGTGGACACGGATGGATTAAGTTATTATTTTTGTCTTTTAGCGGTATCCCCCTCTATGTGATGTGAAGGGAAGTTATGTGGCACAATTTGAGCATACCATCTTACTTCGGCCAACCTGTAAGGAGGTGATATCTAGAGGTGATGACTATTGATGTTTCACCGAAAGAGGACCAGTGTTTCTCTTGTGGTTATCAATATTGCCGACCCTCTCTAGAAGGCAGCCCAAAGTTTTGAGTCTATTTAGGCAGATTTTGCTGTAAGTACTATATTTTTATTTGCAGTATGTAAATGATACCTGTGTTTTTGAGGTTCAACTTATTAGAAATTTTTGTGAACTTTAATTAAATAGCATTACAAATCAATCTAAATCTCTCATGTAGCAATGAGGGAGGAGTGGTTATTGAGTTTTGTTTATCGACTAGTAAATTATGATAATTGCTTACAAAGCAGAGTGTGGATTGTCTTAGATTCTATTGTATTCCTGTATATACCTTATTGCGAATCAGTGGGATGCAATGCATGCTTGAATTCAGACTCCTTAATTATGGTTTTTTCCCCCTTTGCCTCCATTGTTGTTGGATTCTTAGGTTGTATCGTTTTCATTTTCAGGTTCAGTTTGGTGGTGGAATTTGAACTTTCTAAATCAAAATTAAGAGAGTAGGTCAGCTTGTTTAGGTTTTTGATACCAACTTTAGGGTTTTGAAACCATGTTGCATGGACATGGTGTAGTATCAAAGTTAGACATAACGTATGGAGCGTCACATTCCTCGAAAAAAAGGATTCGGCGACATGGCTACATGTTGAAGAGGGCCAAATCCAACAATATTTTACTAGTATTTCATTTCATGATGAGGAGCAAGAGAAAAAGAAAGTATACGATTATTGTTCTCTAGACTTACTCAAAATTTCATATCTACTAAATATAAAAAAGAAAATCTAGTCTACATAACGATGTAATTAATGGTTAATAAATAAAAAGAATCCAAAAGAATTTGTTGGGTAATTGGGTGATAAGATGTCTAACACTTTGTAAGGCACCCAAACAAAAGGATTTATGTAAAGTTGGAATCCTTGACTTCCCTAACCCAAACTGGGACATTTACCACTAAGTAGAAGCCTAGGGTAGGCGTATTATTGTTAATGAAAACATTCTAAAGTGATATTTTTAAAGAGGAGAGAGAAGCTTCTCGAAGTATCAGCTTACAAGCGTACATAATGAAAAATGTACCCAAATGATTTTCTAGGATGAAGTTTTTATAGGGCCGGGCTTTTATCAAAACAAAATAGTGCTTCACCTCAAGTTATTATCCGGAAAGCACTCTTGGCTTTAGAAATCTTCATGATGGCTCTAAAATTAATTTTAAACACCGACAATAAAATTTGAAACTAAAAAATGGTATGGATCTTGTGGATATGTGAACACTTATTTTTAGGGTGAAATAGATGGTCATAGATAATTTGTTGCAATACACACTATTTTAAAAATTTGAAATCCTATTTTTCACGACCATAATGTTCAAGCTGAGATGATTGTTGTAACATTTGAGTTGCGACTTTTTATGAGTTATAAGGTGAGGCTTTACTTATTTTGATAAGGCTGCAGCCATATCAAATCATTTTCCTATTTTGTTATCAAAGCGGAGAGAGAAGCTACTCGAAGTATCAAGGCTGGTTTAGGATTGCTCTTGACATGTTCGTCATGGCTGTTTCAATGGGAAATCCAAAATTATAGGGGGGAAGAGAGAGAGAGGTTACTCATTGTCTACAATATGCAACATGAGAGAGATCTCATTTTGTCCATAACTTATAGGATAAAGAGAGATATGAGTTCATCTTTCTTCCATTTTGCATCATTTCTTCTCTCTCTTAGTTTTTGCTTTTTCCCCGATTTTCTCCCTTCCCTTCCTTCCCTTAGTGTATCGTTCAAACCTCATGTCGTCTGGTTTATGCCTATGTTTTCTTTCTCCTTCTTCCTTCCTCTTTGCTTTGAAGAGAAAGTATGATGACTTCTTGAAAGTATTTGAGGTAGTCCAACGAATTCTTTGATCCAGATAGCCAATCCGAATCCAACAAGATTTTTAGAGTGGCTGATCCAAGTCGTCTATCCATTTTCTTAAACCTTGTTCTCAACCATGTAAGGTATCTTAATCTTTTACTTTATTAAGCAAGGAAATATCCCTATCTTTTGTTTTTTTTTTTGACAAATAAGTAAATCTCTGTCTTACTTCACCGTTTATCTCTCTACAAGGAGAGAGAGGGTTAGAGAGAGAGAGAGAGAGCAAAGAGAGGGCCAATAGGTCCAATAACTTCATTTGAGGGAGAAAGTGAAGAAGAAGAAGAGATGAAAATAGTGAAGTAAATGAGATTCCCCCCCCCCCCAAATTAAATGAAATTGGGTTTTATGGATTAACTAGCGTCAGAAATGTAAAACCAAGGCCACCTTCATTTTTTGGCCTATATAACTTGGGAGAAGATGATACTCATATTCATCCTCGGCCCCATCAGATAAGAATCTTTTCATTAGAGAGATTCAATTATATTAATAATTAGAGATTGTATTATGTTTATTCTAATTATAAATAATTTTTTAAAAAATTTATCTTTGATATAATAATTACAGTACAAAACAAGCATAAGGAAATAATATGTAATATATGACTTAACTAAAATTAAATTTGTTGTTTTATTTAAGAAATTCGAATTGGATTTTGATAAAGTACATTTTTTCAGAAAATTAAGAAAATAATGCAATATCTTACTAAAATGATGATGATTCTATTGTCTTATTGGTCAATTTTTCAAGGCGAGTATATATACCCTCAGGAAGCATTTGCCCTCGGGAGAGTATAGAACTATGGGAAATTACCCAAAATTAGTCTGACAATTTCATAAAAAGCTTTCCTTTGAATTTCATTTCTGGTGGCATGTTTACTTCACCAATACTTACCCCCACTGTACAAATTGTCCTATTTCCCAAATTTTTCAATAAATACCACATATTAATATTCTAATGCCTTTGCAATTCTGATCCCTGAAAATTAGCTTACGTATCCTCTCTCTCTAAAACCCTAGCCGTCCCTCTTCTCTGCCTTGATGAATCCATTCATAGCTTCATCTCTGTAATATGGGCTCATATTCTTGGCTCCTTATCCTCTAGTTCTCTTCCATTTCGGATGTTGATTGTGTAAGTTTTTCGAGTGGCAAGACTTATACATCAATGTCATTAGGAATGGGTTGGCTACCGGATTAGACCAAACCGGTGAGAGTTCTGATCATTAATTGAACCGATTGGATTAGATTTTAAAAAAATAAACAAAACATTAAGAATAATTGTTTCATGCGGGCTGGACCACATTTCTACAATATAGAGGTACAAAGCATCCATCTTTAAGATGGATGCAAAGACGTGCTCCATCTACTAACAATTGTAACCAACTGTTCAAATGTATGGGCTAAAATCAATATATCATTATAAGTCAAAGTGAAGCGATCTCTTGCTCCATTTTCTCCCTCAGGTTAAACCTAAACTAGGAGTATTTCCCGGATTCTAAATTTTGGCGATTTAGCCTCTTGAACCTAGTAACCCAGCTTAAAAATAAATAAAATCTCAATCGGACCCGTGAGTGCCTTATTAAAACTGATGTCAAAATATTTAGCTAGGGCCATTCAATTTTTGGATGGTTGATATAAGCGTTTTACATCTAAAGTCCCATTTATTTATTTATTTATGTATATTTTTTGACAACATTCATATGCTAAAGCGGATCCCAAAACTATAAATTAAAAAAACTTCTCCTAAGTACCTTTGGCCCCGAGGGAGTAAGTTGATAGTGCGCAACAACAAGAGCATGTTATATGCATTGTAAATTACATGTAAAAATTAATGTTTTAAAAATCGGATTGGTAGGTCGAATCAGTCAACTTCACCAGTACCCATTTGAATTCAAAGACTGGATGGAATTCAAAGAAAATAATAAAACTATAAAATTTTAATCTTAATTGTTTACATATTTTAAGTATTCATGTGACATTAATATTCAATGCATAAAATTTTTAGGGGGAAATGGTCTGAGTCCCTATTCTTTGAGGGAATCGGACCAATCTTCTACTGTTCGGGCAAATCAGGCCATCTAGTCCAATATTCGAATTAATGGTAAAAATACAAGACTAGCCAACCCAATATCAAATCTCTACCCAACTCACAGATTGCAGATGTTGGTTAAAAATCAATCTATCGCTACTAATATTGATGGATCATATGAAAAAGCATACTACATATATTTTCTCCTCTGCTAAAACACTTTCAGAGCATATTCTTAGATTTAAAAATATTTTGGTATCCATCTTTAATGAGTATTTTCCAAAGTAAATTGGAATTTTGCTATTTGAAAACACAAAATTTAATGACCAAAAATTGCACGTTATCCATGGAATATCATAATTCATTTTTATTGACGTAAATATTGGATTTTTGTTTTGAGGTTGGTAGCTAGGTTGAGAAGGTTACATCTCCAAATATCGTTCCTACTAATAATAATCTTAAATGTAATTTTTACCAAGAAAATTTTATAGGAAAAGTTATTTGTGATTCAACAGGTGCAAGATACCATTGATTCACCAACCGTATCTAAGATAGGATGCTATAAATAACCCACGAGGTAAAATGAATTTTCATGGTGCAGAATTTTTTTTAAAAAAATCACATTTTAGATATTAAAAATTTTATTTATTTTTCATAGAAACCCTCTCCAAAAAATATCCCACTTTTATTTATTACACCGGTAAACATATACAAAAAAAACTATGGTTTAATTCAATAGTGAGTGGCATAATATTGAACTAAATTTATAGTGGATATTACTTGAAATGGATCTGAACTTGTCAGCTGACTGACAAGAATAGATCGACCTTCACTGATTAAGAAATCAAAGTCTCAATAACACAAAAAAAAACGTGATAGAGCATATGTAATGTTTTGAAATTTGCAGTTAGACCTTCAATTCCACTTGCATTACTACTTTTTACCCATTGGTTGTACAATAACATCAGCTACAGCCAATGGCTTCTGTTCTGGATCGAAATGATCTAAATTATAAGAAGTATTCTTATAGTTTCCCTATCGTTTTTCCTTTTTCTGATCGTTGGTACTATTTCTATGTGCTTATAAATACTGCCTTCACAATTAACAAACCCCACAAAAGAGTTCTGAGAGTCAATTTGATTGAGCCTATTGACTCATGAATGTTCAATCCCTATCTTATTTTGAGCTAAATTTCATCAACATCAAAAGATGATGTACAAGTGTATATCCTTTCCTTAGGAAACTGAGTCCATGTACACCAGACTCTACAAGATCTTAACCAACACTCCGAAAAGTCGAACACTAGTAGACAGGATGTAGTTACCCCTTCTCTGGCCAGCACATCCACTCCTTCATTACTCACCATGAATGTAAGGTTGTCCTTAGCTTTGCAAAATGTTCCAAGATATTTTAGACCATTGTTTAGCTGCCAAGGGAACCCAATAGCATTGTATAAGTACC